TTAGTGCTATCGCAATTTTTTTTCTTCCGTGCAAGAAATCACACTTTATCTTTTCCGACAAAACAGGTTTACGTTTCATGCTTTTATGGCATAGCCAGCCGGTAAAATCGCAAGTGCAAAACAGACATAACAATAAGTAAAAACTGTAAACTAAATTTGATCTGAAGGGAATTTGGTTCTGAACTTCACGTGCGAAAAATTAAACACAGCTGAACGTGACAGAAAGACTAGTTTTGTAAACACGTGTTGCAGGTCATGGTAGCGCAGAATCTGAGGATGAAAAACGACACGATGTTCTCATCTGCACGCTTCGAAAAACAACGTACAATTGTCAGAATTTAAAATTTTGAGAACGAAAATTTGGAAAGATTATTGGATTATACGGTGTTGTCGCTTACAAATCTACACACCATTCGTGGTAGACCACACTAAAAGATGTCGAGCGTTTTCGGAATGGGTCGTTCCGCGAATTCTGTCGTTTGGTCTCGTTTGAAAGCGTTGATAACTTTGAAAGAAGTGAATACATCAGATGTTGAAAAAAGGAATAACTTGAATTAGCAGAACTTCGATGATGCGATTGAAAACAACAAGCAAATCGTCGTAAATTCAACTCTCCTGCTCAACAGCCTGATTCTTTTCCTTTTTTGTGATGCTAGATACTTGTAACGAACAATTTGATATTTCGTACATCATTAGTCTCGCTTGCGTAAGCAGCGAGACTTCGACCATTTTGGTCTGAAAAAGCGTATGGTTTGGCACTCTAGTCTTGAATTGGGTATGTTTTTTAGAAGAAGATACTTCTTCATCATTTGGCGATAAGATCATTTCACTTTTAATATTTACGCCAACCGTGTACGTGTCATAACAGCATGTCACGCGCTCCGGTCACGTGTCGGGCTCCAGGGCTTCAGGTCTGAAATACGGTATCAAATGCTTGATCAGGTCTAAAATAGGGTAGGGAAAATCACAGATTTTGGTCTGAAATAGCCATAGGGTAAGGGTTTCAGGAAGCGTGCCGCACACCCCCACCCAATTTTTCTGGAAGTACCCCCCCCCCCCCCTTTCACCCCCCCACCCAATTTTTCTGGAAGTACCCCCCCCCCCCCATTTTGCCAGGCAACTGTGACTAAGAATCGTTGCGCGATCGAAGCCACTCATGTTTTGCGAAGAAAGCTTAGGAAAGATTAAATTTAAAGCTTTTCCGAAACGTGTCGGTCCACGAATTCTATCGCTTGAAATCGTCGATTACTTTGGAGCAAGTGAACGCTACTAATACTGACTGGTCTTAATTAGCAAACTGCGATGGTCGGGTTTTGTTAACTTTCATTGTATGCAAATGACTCTTGTGATGAGCATGCGATTTATTTTCGGTGATGATTAAAATGACGTGTCATGTAAATCACTTTTTTCATATCTGGCAATGATGTTATTTCTCTAGAATAGAGTCCCTTGAATTTTCGTGTATTTATACACGCGTATAGCCTGCGACCGCAGACGTATTGACGGTCGTCGCTAACACGCGTACTAAATCAATTCAGAAACAAGTAAAAAGTATCGACGTCGATAAAGTAGGGAGCAAAAACCCTTTAGCGAGTAAATCCTGTTTTGTGTAGAATTAATCGCATCCTCATTTCTCGATCTAATCTCCAAGCAAGCGAGACGGGAAGCCGCTGTAAGCGCCTTCTTGTTTTAGTAATGTTTATAGTCATAAGGTTGTTCTGTGCCCAACTGAGTATGTTTTGCACTTCTTGGGGAGCTTGGCCTTGGATTTCCTTTACCAAAACGCTTAAAGTTAGGTCATCCGCAAACTTAACCAATGTGGAACTGTCTGAATCAACAGCTTGTATATCACTTAACATTACAGAAAACAGGATGGGTCCAAGTATAGTGCCCTGAGGCACACCTCTATTGCCATTTAATTGTCCGTCATTCTTGTATAGGTATAGTTTTTTGGAGAGATGCGACGTATAAGATACTTTTTTTGTCATGTTGGATACTGTATATTTGAAATGATAAACGTCTGTTTGCAGAGTGCACAGAAATATAACAAACATATCTCTTGTGTAATAAGCCTCTAGAAAAGACGTCTCCACCAAATCAGCACGGCATCGTATGCATTTAAAAGGCTGGTGTACATATCCATCAGTTTGACACATTGATGTCAAAATTTTAAATTAATTTGATAATATTCTTACGGATTATTAATTTTAGTTCTTATGTGCGTATAAAATCTATTGCCTATATGAGTTGTAATTCATAGGTTTTTTCCGAGTATCTTTGTACTGAATGTTAAAGGTTTTTATTCATTTGAAATAGAATCTCCTCGAGCTTTTGTGTCTCCTTCAAATCAAACTGTTCCTGAAGGCAAGCCAGCGAACATTAGCTGTAACGCTACCGGTTTTCCAGAGCCGACATTAACGTGGACCTTTAGTGAGGATGGAGATCTTCCTCAAGGTGTAGTTGTGAAATACAATAAAAGCAGAGCATTCCTTAAGTTGGAAAATGCTTCAAAACTCATGACAGGAGCATACAAGTGTACAGCCAAAAACAAAGCCAATTCGACAACTGCGACTGCAACTCTTCGTGTATTGGGTATGCCTTGGTTTTACACTGCTTACATTGATCTATATATTTATATTTTTTTTCGTTTTAATGGAAAATGCACTTATCCCCTTAATCAACATAGCACTGAGTTGCTTTCATAATTAGGATATGACTTTTGTGAACCACGTACACTCTTACCGAACTATATCTGTGTTGAGCTACACTGTGTTAAACTGTGTTGCTGGGGGCTTGTTTTGGAAGCTTTGCTACTAAGGTAGAAATATTTCATAAACATTAAAAGGATATCCAGGTACAACAAGTAGTCAAAGTAGTGGTGCATGGCGGTTTTTGTCCGGTTTGAGGACGAGGAAGGACAAGTAAAATTGTGGCTCACGAATAAAATGCGTGAGAAACGTATTTAGTTTATGCTAAACATGTTCAGGCAAGTACTAGTAATGACGTCACGACACCATAAGGAGTCGTGTCGATGTCCATTTGACAATTTAGTAAGCTCATTGTTCTTTCAACATAAAGGCCCCCATAAGTCAAACGGGCCATTTTAAAGGTAAATTTTCGTAAAAGAAGTTACGAGTTCCTTAGGATTCCATCGACAACGTACATCATTTTCTTTTACAATGGCTTTGACCAATCCTTCCGATATCAAAGCACTTCTTATTTCCTGCCGCTTTCATTGTCTACCAGTTGTTAAATTTCCGGATAACTGATTCTTGGCGCGCAAATTGTACATAGTGACGAGTGTACAACATAACCAATTCTACATAAATTGGAAAAAAAAACTATTTATTTCAACCTTCATTACATTACAACTCAATAAAGAAAATCAATCATCTTCTTCTCCGCCCATGGAGCAGTTGTAAGGTTTCATTCGAAATTTCTTATGCCGAGTCCGTTTCTTGTGTTTGTCATGAGCACCATTAACGTATCATCCAAATATGATTTAAAAATAGTAAACTGCAAAAAGATTCGAGGCTTGTAACAAACACGCGTTCAAAGCACAATTGTGCCAATCATATTCACTTTACCAGACTGCTTCATTCAACAAACGGACTGGCTATCGATAACCGCAAATTCTTGCTCAATCGACTGTTTGTGATACAATCCATTCCTAACGATGAAGACTGACCTGCTCTTATATGTTATACTGTGTTTTGTCCTCATTAAAAGCTGTATTTCTGCAACATATGTAGTTTCTCGTCCTGAATTTAATGGCACTGAGCTATTGATTAAAGTCTTTTCACGCCTTCTTATGGTGTTGTGACGTCATTACTAGTACTTGCCTGAACATTTTTAGCATAAATTAAACAAGTTTCCGGCGAATTTTCTTCATCAGCCACAATTTTACTCGTCCTCCCCCGTCCTAAAACCTGACAAAACCTCCATGCACCACTACTAGTCAAACATATTGGTGGCAATTTTTCTCTTGCATTATAATCATTTCTTAAACTTTGAAATATATATTTAGGTAAATTTTGATGAACATGTGCTGTAGCCTTTGCAGGCTTTTGTTGAAACCATTGCAAATTCTTCTTTTTATGAATGAAGTTGCTTTAATTAAGCTGTTTTATGAATCATTGTTTTCAAAAACGTGAAAATAATTTCACTCAGGGAGTGCGAGGCAAGTAACCTAAACACTATGCACGTTTTCCGTACAATTTCCTTAGTCGGTGTCAATAATCATTTAAAATTTAAGGGGTATTTCCTTTACTGCTTTACGATTCCCTTCTGATATTAGGAAAACCTACAGCTGTAATAGTGGAAAGTTCATATCCCACAATTCTAGCTGGTGAAGACATTAAGTTAACTTGTAAAGTCACTGGTTTACAAGTGGAAGTCAACTGGAACAAAAACGGCCTCCTAGTAACTAAAAACGAAAAAGTTCGCATCAGTAGGGTTGGTGACTCAAGTACTCTTGTCATTAGCAACGTTGGGAGTGATGACAGTGGCGACTATTCTTGCGAAGCACGTAATCCAGCAGGCTACAGTTCCTGGACTGTCAAGATCAGAGTTACGGGTAGAGTAATTTTATTTTCTTAAAAAAATAGTTGAAAAAAATATGGGCGTAACAAGGGCACTAAACAGTTTAACCTGTATTAAGCAATCATCCTCAGGAATAATAATGACAGGAGATTAAAAAAAGTAGTGTGAGTTGAAGGCACAAGTTTAATAACTGGTCACAAATGTAATAAAGGTCACAAGTGTAATAACATTTGGTCACAATTGTAATAAACATCTAAACCGAGCTACAGAATGGAGTAGGATCAGGATACACAGGGCAATTTTTAAACAACGATGTGCTAGAAAGTATCATTAAGATTACCTTAAAGTCCTTTCCGTTTATGAGAACATCCCTACGAGGTGTAAATACCTTCAGAGAAACAGTAGACAAGATGCCTAGCCCTACGGTATACATTCCAGAACTTGCAGAAAAAACAGTCGTCATAAGCATAAGGAAACTAGTAATGCTGAAGGGGAGATGCAGTAGTGCTGTTGAACGCCTTCGGGCAGTTATTAAATCCCCTAAATGGTATTATGCATGGGTGAGGTTAGTTCCTGTAGAATTTGAATGGTTTGCAATATCTGGCTTTTTTTGGAAGAATATTGTAAACACACGTAAATAGAAAAGCGTGCCAACCAAAGAAGAACATATGTTCCTCGTTTAACGCCAAATAAGGAAGCTTGTTTTTTGGATTTGCCAAAGACTGATTACATTAAAAACTGTTTTCTTCTCAGAGAAAATTCGTGCTTAGTGTATTAATTAATAGGACTGATGTTCGGTTCCCATACTTTTTTGTATGCACAACTACAGTTTCCCTGCCATGCAAAGCACGAAAGCAATTCGAAGTCCTAATTTGATAACCACAAGCCTTTCTTTTTCAAGGTTGTAAGTTAATCTTCAGATTTAATGAGATTAAACCATTGTTTTGAAGTTATAGGTTGTCTTAAGTCCTTATTTCCCTATATTGCAACAATAAAATTTCCGCCAGGACTGTGTGACGAACAGGTGACACTACAGTCGCATGTTGAAACTGCTCAATGTCGTCATAAACCACTTAGCAAGTTTACATGTAATTCGTATGAGGGTTACCTATCGTGCTTAACCAATTCTGGTCTCCTTCGCAGCCGTTCGTCTGATGCCATCAAGAAGAGCTATTTGAGGCATTTTCCGACCTCTATCTCGCTTAAAATTAAAGGTTCCAAACTATCCGAAACTTTGCATACCTGTTGAGTATTACGCTGGTCGTGCTGTTCCTAAAGCTCAATAATAGCCTGCGAAGCTCGGACAAAAGACTTTCACCGTCCACTTAAGTTTTGCCTTTCGCTTTCCCCCTCCCTACTTCTTTTGGTTCTCTTCAACTTCCCGTTCTTTACGTTTTTCTTAGACCCCTTTTTCTTGACTGAATTCCCCTTTGTTTTGGATATGATTTGAAAGTCATCTTTGCCCTGCACAATTCAGAATACAAAGCTATATTACCTTTAATTTATGTCTCTGAGTGAGTTACTCTTTTAAATTGTTAAGTTGGTAATTATTACATTTGTGACCAAATGTTATTACACTTGTGACCTTTATTACATTTGTGACCAGTTATTACATTTGTGCCTTCAACATGAGCTACATATAAAATTTTGTTATTAAATATTCCAGAAATTTAACTTAAATATAAAAAAGCATTTATCTGATGATATACATGACACTATTTTTAGCAAAAACACTGAAGAGCAGAAGAGTACAAATAGTTGACGTTCGTTCAAGCAACTTTACGCAGTGATTTATTAGTCATGGTCGGGGCCTTTCTTAACAGGGGAGTCCGAATTAACGGAAAACGAGTTTTGTTGGTCTTGAGTTCGTTGTGAGTCAGTCTGAGGGTTAGAAACAGTATTTCTTGGACTCGGCTGCAATGTAAGAAGGCTAGATGAACAGGCTTGTTATGTGAACGGCCGCTGCGGTTGCAAACCAGGACGCATTCACGATCGTATATCCCCTCAATATGGTGCGCTTTCTTTGACTTTACGTAACATGTTTCATGAAATTTTTGAAGAATCGCACTTGTACCTAATTAGGTGACAGTTTAACAGCGAAAAAAAGAAAATAAAAACATTACCCGAATGGGAAGTCTACAGTTTGATAGTGTGAGATGCTAATAAATGGCTGCTTAATAAAGGGTTGTCTGTAAAGCGTAAATCGAAGAAGACTTATACAGTTGTCAGGTGTTAAAGATTAAAACCTGTTTTATCAAGTACCAGAGTTAACATTTTGCCACTCTTACACGCTATTCCCTTACTTTTTCCACAGCTATTCCGAGCCATTCGTCACTGCAGTGGTATTATATTGTTGGCCCCATTTCTGCCGTCATATTTTTTGCACTGTTCGTCTGGTACATGTGCAAGAGACGACTGAAAGGTGTGACCATAAACTATGTCCTCTAAATAGTCACCATAGCAACTGACAAAGTTCCCGACAAGAAAAGTGAGCGCCCTTATTTCCACTTATAAAGATGCTACATTTTGCTCACAGTCTTCTTAACCCTATTCAGAGTGGGGTAGAGCGTTTGTGGCCTCCCCTCAAGATAAAGTTGAATAACTTCACAACCGTTCAAACTATGACCGCCAAACTTAGGCAATTTCCTAAAAATTATCTGGGATTATGTTAGAGTTGCCGCAACGAGTACGTCAGCATGACGTTACCATCGCGAGCAACGTTTGACCGTTATGTTCTTTTAAAAAGTTGCATTATTCCTATAAAAAAGATTGTTTTCTATGTTGAATTATTGAACTATCGTGTTGCAGTTGATTCAGGAGAAATTTTTATGCGCGCTCTCGTAATTCGCTCGCTCGCTCACTCAACTATTCCTAATCGAAATAAAGGACTATTCTTGGTTTAATAGTTCTTGCTGCTGGTTTTCAACTTACTTACAGACTGTCATTTTTGCAAATATCTAATTGTTATTATTTTTGTCATTTTGCACGGTTTTCTTGGTCTTCCAACCCTTTCATTTCCTAGTACCAGGTGACCTCCCGTCTCCATAGCATTGTTATTAGTATTGCTTTGCCCTTTTAAACATATTTAAAAAACGTTGTATTGACTAGTTATTTTTTTGTCTTCGTTTCTTCTTCATGGGGAACAGCCAAGGACAAGTAAGTGTCATAAAATCTTTAAACCCTGCATTATATCTTTTTGAGGGGCCAAGTAAATACTTTCATCCACTGGAGCAAAGCTTCCTTTTGTCTTCTTTACCGAGGAGAAAAAGAAGCTCTGCCCAAATCGCGTCAAGCCTTTGAGGCCGCCGCAGCCCAAACTTCTGGGGTAGTCATCTCTTTTTCTCTTTACAAATTATTTTTCGAGTACGAGCATCCGTTTAATGTTAAACCGCGTTTGCTACAGCCGAGCCCGCTGTAGCAAACGCACGGCTATTAGGCCTGGGTTCAAATATATTAGCAACATGCGCGCATGCTCAACAAAGATCTTACTCGATTCAAGCACAGTCTTTCTCGAGTACACCAAAATCGAGCAAGCGAAAGAAGGGTTTTGCTGGCAGGGTGATATGTTGAAGAATACGATTAAACTAACACTTTCAAAACTGAAGAAGAGCACCGAAAATATTATATATCTAAATTGATAGTAAAGTATTTTCAAGTAATTAAAATCTTTATACAGGAAGTCACCATCACCCATGGGTGGTTTTCAGACGAGACCTGTCACTAAATTAAAACTTTACTAAACAATAAAAACACCAAGTACGTAAAAAAGACAATAAAAGGTACAAAGTGTCATTGTTCCTGTCATTATACTACTACATGAGAAACTTCTGCATTTTTTTTTGGCTTAGAGCAGTGGTATCTAAGCTTAATTTGAAATACCTACGTGTGAAAATTACAAACCATTTGCGGGTAGCAGTATAAACAAATAATAGCATCATTTGTGCGTGATATTTGGCGTAAATACCACTCGTGATATTTATGCCAAATATCACTACAAATCATGCTATTACCTGTACAAGTTATGCTTAAAGATGTAAAACTGGCATGCGCGTTTGGTAATTGTGGACCAAAGACCCACTATTAAAATGATAAAAAAAAATTGATCCCGGTTAACGTTCTTCCTGTCGTATTGTTTTAGTTTGTCTGCTTTCTTGTTTTTTTTTCTTTGTTTTTTCCCCCGTGATGTTTAGTTATATATTTCTTTTCTTTTTTGCTTCCAACGCTTCCGTGTTGAAGTCGTCTTGCATAATTATACTCAATCACAGTGCTCTTAGTAATAGCTTTTTGCCACCTATTCACCTTTGCAGTCTCGCTGATGAACATCCGGGAATAGAACTGGAGGAGTTGGTTCACGAGGTGGATGAATGGGAGGTTTCACGTGACCGTATAAAGCTAGAAAATATGATTGGTTTTGGGGCATTTGGAGCAGTCTGGAAAGCAACCTTGAAACAATCAGACAAAAAGCATGTAGCACAGACGGTGGCAGCAAAACACTTCACACGTGAGTCAGTTCAACATATTACACTAGACACCTTTATCTTTGATTGTGAGCATGACTGTGCCTTAGATAATCGCTATTGTGGCTTGCCCTTAGTGTCATGTGGCGCCTTTAACAACCAAAGCTGACTGAATTTGCTCTCATCACTTCTGTTGTAGCGACTGCTGGAGAAGAAGGAAGAAAAGCTCTTATGAAGGAGATTGAGTTAGGAAAAAGTCTAGCAGAAAGTCCACATATTAACGTTGTCAAATTCACCGGCTGCGTTACGACACAAAGTAAAAATCCTCATTCATTATCCTTTTAAACACGATATTTCGTCTTCATTTTCTTTTTCTTTTTCATATAACATACTATAGCTACAATGGAATATTCACTGATTTGGATTGTCTCTTTACAGTTCACCCAATAATGATCATGGAGTACATGGCATATGGAGACTTGCTTGGTTATTTGAGAAAGAGCCGAGGAATTCACGACCAATATTATCGTGGAGAGGGTGAGGCTTTTCAGCTGCAACCATATGACCTGGTCTTATTTGCGAAGCAAATTGCTACTGGAATGGTGTATCTTGGAAGCAGAGGGGTATGTGAACAGTTATGAAATGTAGAATTTGCCGTTACTTGCTCCTTGCTTCATTATTCCGCTGCAGACTTAGTTGTCCATACCAACTCAAGAGAAATTTCATTTTAGAAAACGTCAGAGCGACCTTTTTTGAGCGGTTTCAGTCCTTCACTGTACCTGGACGAGAAGGGATGTATTAGATATTACAATCCGGTCAGGACTTAAGACCACTTGTAAGAAATAAGTAACGTTTTAGTATAACGCTGTAATATTTCCTCTTGAAAAACTTTGAATAGCCAGATACTTTTCTGGGTGCGGTAAGCGAACGATTGGCCTAGTGATTTGCTTGTTCCATCGCTATAGTATCGTTGGTTGGGAAAGCACTGCTCCCATAATGTG